AGTGCAAAGTTATCCACTGGAACATTTCCTACAAATTATTACCCAACATTTTTTCTGTAAACCCAATAGTACAGGAAATAAAGTAATAAATATGAAAAAAAAATTGAACGACCCATATGGTACCATGAAGATATATTGAAAAACAAAAGATTATCGATAGATGAAGAGATCATCAACTTCCACATGAAATATTTTTTCCTTTTGTTGATTGGAAGATGGAACAAAAGTGTTGAAAATTTTATTCCCAGATGATTCCGAATATCTCGAAAACAACTGGAGATATCTGAAAATGTTATAAAACCAAAATTTTTCTTTTTGATAGAATCTACAAAAAATCAATATAACATTTTTCTCTGAATTCAATAGTTCGGGAGATACGATGAATAAACTAAAAAAATTACAAGTTCCTAGATAATCACTTGCCAATAGAAAACGAAACAAAAAACAAAAGGAAGTGAAAAAAGTACACTCGACTGTCTTGATTTGTTTCCCATAAACTACTTACCTAGCTCACTCGACTGTCTCAATGTTTTGCCCATAAACTACGTATCTAGCTCACTCGACTGTCTTGATTTCCCACAAAGAAGAAATATGTTGGCATTGTTTTAACTTTCTTTTGTTCTTGTTATACGACGCTATACATAGTGGAGTATACTACGGCCGTGCCAAAAATGCTATCTCGGAAACTAAGCGAGATAGAGGTATAGTTGCTTTGGAGAAAATGATCCCCATCGAATTTTGAGCAACTTTGGTTTTTGTGTGTGGTCTGTCTGTCTGTCTGTCTGTACTCTGTGTTAATCCTAAATCGATATATCTCCGGAACCCTTTGACATATCGACTTGAAATTTTGCCATCTCATAGTACTCAAAACAATATTATGTCATTAAAATATGAAGGAAATCGGAAAACTCTAAGGTGGTTTTTCCGGGTTTTTTCGATTTTTCACCGGAAGTTCCTTGTAACCACTCTACAAATCGCAAAAGTGGTCCGATCGATTTCATTTTTTGTGAAAAAAACCTCTATCAGGAAGAGACGAAGCCTATTGAAATTGAGCAGGGTCGGGAAATTCCAAGTGGGTTTTTCAAGGAGATTTTCCGAAAAACACGGTTCGCTTTAAAACGACATATCTCGTGAACAAATAGACTAAATCCAAATTTGAGAAATGCACCGTATGCCTCTTTGATGACGCAACAAATTATCATTCAATCATTTTTTCGTGCATCCATCGGAAACTGGAAAAACAAATGAAAATCCAAACATCAAAATTTGAAATCCTTTTAATTCAATATATATCGAAAACAAATGGAAAAATCGAAAATTATCAAGAGTGCAATGTTATCCACTGGAACATTCCCTACAAATCATTTTCCATAATTTTTTCTGTAAACCCAATAGTACAGGAAATAAAGTGAAAAATATGAAAAAAAAAATTTTAACGACCCATAGGGTACTATGAAGATATATTGAAAAACATAGATTATCGATAGATGAAGCTCATCTACCTCCACTGGGCTCCGTGGCCGAGTTTGTCTATGCGCTGAAATTCGCTAGATAGCCGTTCACGATGCAGAGGTACTGTCGGTTCGAATCCGGCTGTCGGCTGAGCATTTTTCTTTAAAATTTGTGATTCATGGTTGTAATCCTGGCAGCACCTCGATGCCCTAGAAGTGGTTCGGATTCCACTATAAGCTGTAGGTCCCGCTCTTCCTAACCCCGCACAAGTTTCGACTTCTGGGGAGTTGGTTCCCAACTTTGAAGTAGCGATATACAAATTTTACAATTTTTTTTTTTTTTTACTGAGGCATGGAATATTTTTTCATTTTGTTGATTGGAAGATGGAACAAAAGTGTTGAAAATTTTATTCTCAGATAATTCCAAATATCTCGAAAACAACTGGAAATATCTGAAAATGTTATAGAAATAAAATTATTCCTTTCGATAAAATCTACAAAAAATCCTCATAACATTTTCCTCTGAATTCAATAGTTCGGGAGATACGATGAAAAAACTAAAAAATTCACAAGTTCCTAAATAATCACTTGCCAATAGAAAACAAAACAAAAAACAAAAGGAAGTAAAAAAAGCACACTCGAGTGTCTTGATTTTTTTCTCATAAACTACGTACCTAGCTCACTCGACTGTGTGGAAAAACCAAGACAGGCGAGTGGGCTAAGTACGTAGTTTGTGGGAAAAATCTCCAGTTCTCCGAACTTTCATAGCGTCGTATACACATCCTTGGTGCCCAATAATAGTTTCAATATAAAAATATACTCATGATATGGTGCCAAGGCCTCTACTTCCATCTTACATGAGCAATGATGAAATATAATCTGCTTTTATAGCGTCGTATAAATTATCTGACCTCTAAATAAACTAATACCTTATGAAAACTACATCTATACTAATCTGATACCTTCCAAAAACTACATACCCACTTGTTAACTTACTATAGATACATAAACACGTTATGTACATCATATGTTGGATAGATGGCTTCGCGTGCCGATCTAACGTTATGGCGCGTATACCTGTACCGGAACAAATAGGTTCACGTGACTGAGTATGACCCGCAGACTGCTAAGTGATGCTTCCAGAAGCTCGGAGAGCAAGGCGAGCACATCAGGCTCGCACACTCGCCTAGATTTACGGGTATGGCTTTTCTGTAATGGAGTTTCCATGCTCGCGAGCGGGTTTTATGAGTGCGGCCTCCGTATATGGCGAGCAGATAGTGCACCTTAGGTGTAGCCCTCGGCTGTTGCGCCAGACAAAAGCATGTTTGCCGAAGCGCCGATTGTTGGCGATCTAATATCTGCGGATTAAAAGGAGGCGATATCGCCAGGATTTTTACGTGATCATTCGGTGGAAGAGGAAGGACCGTTGGATAGCGATACACGGAAGGATAGGTCGTTCTCCAATCCAATCTTATTCAGTATCACCAACTACATAGTTCTGTTTTGACATGAAAAAATGTGCGTTGAAACGACACAATTCTCTTTCAATTCTTCATGGCAAATATTGAAATATCGGCATTGTGGGCGTATTTCGGAAGCTTTGCAAATTTCCATTTCCCATTTCTTACAAATATTATCAAGATACAGGATAAAAAAAAGAGGAACTTCTAGGTGTTGCGATAGTCTGTGGCAGTTGTGATATTTTGTCTCTCTCTGTAGCACAGAAGAGGTGATAGAAATACCTTCTATGGGTTCCGATGGAATTATCAATAAAGTACTATTTGATTCCCTGTTGAATGCAAGAAATACATGGATACTCATACGAGGGCCCTTGAGGAAGAACAGTTTAACTGATCTTGCGCCTTTTAACCAGCACCATTTTGTATTTGAATTAGTATTTTGTTTTGACAATTAGTCTACATTGTTCGTATCTGCTGGTTAATAAAGACACTATTATTATTATTATTATTATTATTATTATTATTATTATTATTATTCATAATAAAGTAATGCTCCATACGGCAACAGTCGACAGAGATAGTCTGTGGTGTATCTTTCGTACCTTGGTTGAGATAACGTCACCGTAGTATACTTAATTGGAGCTGACTGACGCATTGCCGGCTAAATGGGGTTTCAAAATATACGTATACAGGGTTGGGCAAAAGTATGAAACCAGGTGAATTTCTCGGTAACCTTTTGTTAGATTTTTTGGATATATGTACAGGGTGATTTCAAAACGTGGTGGATTTGAAAATGTTATCGTCGATGTTGCCACTTTCGGTTATTCCGGAATTATTATTAACTTCCTTATTTTAAAAACTTCCATGAAAATGTGAAATTCCTATTTGAATATTTTCATGAATAAAGAAGTTACGGAGGAGACATAAAAATGATCAAAATCTGTTTTTTGCGTATAAAACAAAAACGAATAGATGTTATCGAAATATTTTTTCACATTTTAGTTGGCCTTGCCAAACTCCACATTTGGTGTCATTTAACCGACCTCGTATCTCTCACCGTTAAAAAGATACCCATGGTGAGCATGGTGAGTGGGACACACTGTATATATATGATGTCATCGGGCTGTGACTAACTAATCACCTTCTTTCTCACGTCATATGAAGTCAATTCATTACGATGTCACCTTTGAAGAAAACATCAATGGAGCGTCAACCGACAGTTTCCAAATGAAATCGTATATATCACTGTGTGTGTTTATTTATTGTGATCATATTTCCATCCCACTCTAATCTGTGTATGATATCCTGACAGAATGATTGCACTGAAACCAAAAAAGTAATCCTCTGGTCGGGATACGAATTGTCCATGCGTGCAGACGGTCTCTTGTCTGGGAGCCTTTATGATATACGACGTACGATTCATAAAGACGCAGCAACTTCCGAAGAACAACTCCATTTTTGGACACAGCCGGATGTGGCCTATAAATCTGTCAGATGCACACGTCGGTCAGTAGAGGGCAGTAGCGTCGTTTCAGGCGTCTCGTCACAGGTCTCCTTCCTGTTTTCTTGTTACCGCCGATCGGATTGAGCAGTGGCGAAGTTAATTCTCCAATTTTGAGAGAGCTCAAGCTCAAGCCCAGGGCACCGAACAGAAACAGGTTTCTGTTCGGTGCCCAGGGGCGTAATTTCAGAGGATACCAAGGATGGACCTACAGTGTGACCCACTTCTAATGGGATCATCCCTGTATCTTACGTAATCGTTGGGTAAGGATGCTGAAATTTGCTAGAGCGAGAGGTATACTAAAAGTGCACTCTGTTACCAAGTGGGGTCATCTTCAGTGATATACACTGCTCGCCAGCAGCCATGGAACCACCCAAATTCCCGGAAATTATATTAGAAGTCAAAATAGGTTGAAAATCATTTCGGATTCGGAATCAGGACGTCCAATTCACTGGATTAGATTAGATTGGAATGGGGCCTTCGGGCTATCTGCCTCCACACTGCGACCTTTTCAGATCTATTGTGTCTGCCCTCAAAATGGATTAGAGTTCTTCGGATAGCCCCGCCTTCTCTATGAGACTCCATAGGCTAGCTTTCAGATCTCTGGGTTCCTGGTTTTTCCTCACTCAGCGTAAGGAACCTTAGTCTTGACAAGCCCTCACAGTGGCAAAGTATGTGTACTGCTGTTTCTTCCTTTTCTTGACAGAACCTGCACAGCAGTTCTTCAGTCAGACCTATCGTACTCATGTGTTTGTTGAGCCTACAATGCCCTGTGAGAAGTCCCAATAGTATTCTAGTTGAACTTCGTTTCTGGCTTAGTAGATATTCTGTGAATGTTGGCGATGGTTTTTTAATAAACTCTTTTGCCTGTCTCATTCCTGGCGAGTTGTTCCACCATTCTTGAGATTCAGTTTGCATCCATGATTTGATACTAGTCTTTTGTATAGCTTTCGCAATACCACAGAAGGGTTCTGGGCCATTAAGAGCTTTGTTTGCTCCTGCTCGGGCAAGTGAGTCTGCCTCTTCATTGCCCTCGTACCCTGTATGTGCTGGTACCCATGCTAGAGTCAATCTGTTCTGACTGCCCAGTGCATTTAGGGTTTCTAAGCAGCCCCAGTTTTGAGTTAACTTGCATAGAGTTGACTGCTTTGATTGCCGCCTGGCTATCTGAATAGATTGCAATGGTTTTGCCTTTAAACTCTTGCCTTAACAATCCTTTCACGCAATGATGTATTGCAATAATTTCTGCCTGAAACACCGTCGCGTATTTGCCAATTCACTAACTATTCATAGTTTTCCTAGAAAGTTTTCTGTTCATAATAAATTTTCTCACTTCTCATGGAAGCACCCCCGTATCTTCCGTAATTATTGAGGTAGGGTTCTGAAATTTGCAGGAGGAAGGGAAAGTCAATTACGTAAAATACAAGGGTGCTTCCGTAAAAAGTGCGACAAAATTTAATTTTTCAGGAAAAATATGAATAGTTAGTGAAGTGGGCGTCCTGATTCCGAATCTAAAGTGATTGTTGACCTATTTTGACACCTCATATCATTTTCCGGAAATTGGGAGGGTTCCATATGGCTGTTGGCGAGCAGTCTTTATCACTGAAGATGACCCCATTTAGTCATAAAGTGCATTTTAAGTATATCTCTCGCTCCAGCAAATTTCAGAATCCTTACCCAACGATTACGTGAGATACAGGGCTGTTAGAAGTAGGTCACACTGTACAAACAATATTCCCACAGTAAAAAATGCGCCGCAGATGAAACTTTCTTGCGGCTCAAGGTCAAATGCCTTCGAATTGAAAATTGGATTTTTTTCAGGCCGACGACTTCATCACATAATAATTATGTTTTGATATATTAGTCAGTTTCGTGTTCTCATTTCGTTTTAATTGATACAAAATGATCTGAAGTTCGAGTGGAAAGTATTTTTTCTACAAACGTCAAAAAATGACAAGGTTCGCGCATTGATAACAAATTGCGAAGTGACACTTTTCTTCAGTTTCCTACGTTACCATGATTCTTGGCACAAAACAATGCGCGAAGTAAAACAGTGCGCGAAGTACCTACTTCGCGCATTGTTCTGTAAAGTAAATGAGATATTTATATTTCAACTTTATGGTCCTCAATCGAGCAGACATCCACAAAATCATTTATTCCTGTATGTTCAACAATAACTTTGTTTTTTTTTCTTGGAGCGCATGAAAGGAAATTCCTATTATGTTCGTGGAACATCGTGCGTACCTAGGGAGGATAGGGGGAGACCTTTCAAGCCAGTTCAACACTATTTTCAATATAATGTTAAGCATATTTTTACTCTAGAACTATATTTTTTGACGTTTGTAGAAAAAATTTTGTTTGCAACTCGAGCGAGAAATACTTTGGTCATCTCGACTATTTTTTCAACTCGGCTAGGCCTCGTTAAAAAAATCAGATCTCGATCACCAAAGTAGAATTTCGCGCTCTAGATACAAAAATAACTATTGAATTCTACCTGTAGGCGATTCTTCATTTTTCTAGATTTCTTCAGATATTCTATCTCGTTTTTTTTCGAATATATTCATAGTATGAGCACAAACAAGGAGTCACTGTTTATTGATATCCATAGAGTTAGTACCTGCGATTGCTTTTTTAGATATCTGAAAGTGATTTTTTCTACAAACGTCAAAAAATTACAAGGTTTGCGCATTGATAAAAAATTACGAAGTGACACTTTTTTCAGTTTCCTACGTTACCATGATACCTTGCACAAAACAGTGCGCGAAGTGAGACAGTGCGCGAAGTACCTACTTCGCGCATTGTAATGTAAAATATATTTCAACTTTATGGTCCTCAATCGAGCAAAAATCCACAAAATCATTTATTTCTGAATGTTCAACAATAACTTTGTTTTATCTCTTGCAGCGCACGAAAGGAAATTCCTATTATGTTCGTGGAACATCGTGCGTACCTAGGGAGGATAGGAGGAGGCCTTTTAAGCGAGTTCAACAATATTTTTCGTATAAAGCTGAACATATTTTCACTTAAGAACTATATTTTTTGACGTTTGTAGAAAAAATGTTGTTTGCTACTCGAGCGCGAAATGCTTTGGTCATCTCGACTATTTTTTAAATTAGATCACCAAAGTAGCATTTAGCGCTCTAGATACATGAATAACAATTTGTTTCATCACAGTGACATTCTTTCACAATCTTTATGTACTTCAATTGTCCCCACTTCCAATGTATTGAAATATAGTCATATTTTCATTTTTATATAGAAACAAAGAATCAAGGAAAATGAAAACTGTTTTGATAACAAAAATGAAGAAATATCACAAATGAATATAATATATGAAACAGGAAAATTCAATGTGATTTTTGTTGTTGTAAGGAATGAGGGGGGAGGGGGGATCGCCCCCTCCTGCTCCATTGTGATTATATTACATTGACAGTAGATGCAATTACAAACCCCATGAACAATACATTTATGAATTCAGCTCTCCATGGAGATTCAAAAATTGAATTATATGGGTATTCCATTTGAAAAATTCATCATTCATCATAATTCAAACGTGTATCATCCTGAATATTCAATTTTTCTCAATAAATATGGCAAATTGGAAATATGAATCCAGGTCATTCAGGATATTCCACAGAAATGCATAGTTTGGCAAAAAATAAATGTATTCAGTACTTCACGAAAGCGGTGTACTATATAAAGTCAAATTATTAAAGATGAATTTTTACTTCGATGTTGTTCCACAAATAATATTCTGTGGAATACTTCTACAATGTTCTTCTGAGATCATGTGAAATGAAGGTAACACCTTATGTTCTATGAATACTACCAGATCTATTATGCCTTATCACAAACATTTTTCATCATTATTTTGATGTGTGTATATTGTCTAATGAAAAATCTAGATGAAAACAAGTTGAATGAAGCTCACTACATGCAAGCCTTCTAATGATGAAATAGACAGGGTCTTTTCAAAAAGAGAATCAATTATTTCCAAATAGCTGTACTAATTATCAGATCTTCCTTCTTGGATTCCCTGTAGGAGAGTGAAAACGGAATATGATGACCGTAGAATCTGAAATAAAAAACACTGAAGATTGAAAGTAATCAATTATCTCAACCTCATCTCATTCCAACCCGTATTGTTTTACTTGAATAATTATTTAAGCTATTAATGATGAGTGAAATATTCAATTACATTCATTGAGATGGATATAGTTTTCGAATTTGTGGCGGAGTTTGAATAAGCAGAATCACAAAAAAAAATTATTGAAACGAAAACATTATCAATTATCTCAAAAACAATTACAGAAACAAAAAATCATGACTAAATCCAGTTGAACATTGACAGTTATCAGACAAGTCGAAATTAAACATACATTTGAATGATTTTGTTTCATATTCTTTCCTTGAACCTATCAAAGTGTGGCGTGCAAATAGAAGAGCATTTCCTATCGCATTTTGTCTGTTTTTTCTGAATCTGATACAATTTTTCGAGAAAAGTGATGACGAAATCATCATTCTCGATATAACAATAGAGTATGAATTCTTCCTAAGAGCGGAACTGGATTTTTTTCATAATATGCCATCTTGAATAGTTTCAATACAGAAACATCGCTGCTGAATTCTAGCTAATTACGATGAATTATTTCTGAAATATCGGCCATCAAACTCATATAGAAATTTCACATAATATTCTTGGTTATGGATGACTAGATTTTTTTATACAGGGTATGTCACGACGAACTTACACTATCTCTATATCGAGAATCAGTCGGGATAAAAATATATTTTAGTATAAGCTCTACTCATTGAAAATATTTCCAGCAATACAGTCGTGTTGCTGCTTCATTCAAAAAGTAGCAACAACTTTGTCATTTCAAATAGAATGCCCTGTATTTCATTGCATTTTCAGATCCTCCCTGGTACCTGATTTCATCGATATTCCACACTTGGGGTCTATCGGAAATGATTACAGAGATATAGGGTGTTCAAAATAGAGATTTCTCAACGTTAGGATTTTTTTGTGTCGAAACTATTTATTATGGGCCAAAACGGCTCACATGTCCCTATCTCAACTCTTGATTTACTATTTACTGATATTTAATCGGAACGGATACAGGGTGATCAGAATTATGAATCTTGGACCACCCTGTATCTGTTCCGATGATGATGATGATGATGATGATGAAGATTGGGACAAGTGAGCCTCTTTTGACCGATAATAAATATTTTCGACACAAAAAATCCTGAAGTTGAAAAATCTCGATTTTGAACACCCTATATCTCTGTAATCTTTTTCGATAGACCCCAAGGGTGATGTATTGATAAAATCAGCTCTTCAGGAAAAATCTAAAGATGCTATGAAATACAGGGTGTTTCATTTGAAATATCAATGTTGCTACTACTTTCTTGTAGAAGCGGCAACACTGCATTGTCGAAAATATTTTAAATGAAGAGAGCGTGTTCTGACATAAGAGCATGTACATTTTCATGGATTTTTCCCAACTGATTCTCGATATAAAGATAGTGTAAGCTCGTCGGGACATATATACACTGTATATTATATACATCAACTTGTCTTGGATTTCGCCTATTCACCATTCTGCTATGTGAGTCTCCTCATGAATCAACTTGTATATTCAGAAGATGCCTATTTTTATTCGATCAGTTCTTGCACTAAATCATTATAAAGTTTTGAAAGAGGGCACCTAATACGGAGCCTCGTGGTACACCTAGTCTAAAATAAGTACCGGGTGACCAGTTATATTCTGACCCATTTCAAATGCTTATATCTCTGAAACCATTCAAGTTATCGTTGTGCAGTTTGGACTAGTCTATTTTGATATTTTCCAAGTTTTTTTTGACAGGTTCACCTTCTCTCTTGAATATCCGGTTCTACCGGAAACAAACTAGCCATTATTCAGGTATAGGGCAACTTTTTTATTTCATTGAATCACCCTGTATATTTGTGCACATTCAGAAAGACTGGTCTTTTCTCTTTCTAACAATGCATAACAAGTTATGTTTTCTAAGAAAACTATCAGAGTTATAACTGTTTGAAACAACTACTGCATGTGGAATGGTTTAATGAGATTTTGCAATGTAACCAAAGTCGTCTTTGGAAATCCTGATCACAAAACATGAAATGCCAGATTAGATGTGTCAAATAAAGATTGTCGAGCATTTGTACTTTCTTCGAGTTGAAAAAATGTTTACTCTGACTGAAAAAGCAAATGAACTCATCATAAATCTGCATCAGATTTATACTCAATATACGGTAATTCAGCATTTCAGGATAACATCCTAATATGCAGTAGATGCTTCAAGTTATAACTCTGATAGTTTTCTGAGAAAAAATAACTTGTTATACATTGTTAGGAAGAGAAAAGACCAGTATTTCTGAATGTGCAAAAATATACAGGGTGCTTCGATGAAATAGAAAAGTTGCCCTATACCTGAATAATGGCTAGTTTGTTTCCGGTAGAACCGGAAGTTCAAGAGAGAAGGTGAACCTGTCAAAAAAAACTTGAAAAATTTCAAAATAGACTAGTCCAAACTGCACAACGATAAATTGAATGGTTTCAGAGATATAAGCATTTGAAATGGGTCAGAATATAACTGGTCACCCGGTATAACTTACCGATATAAATACACTATTCGACATCGTGAATAGTCCTCCAGCTTTTATTCCGATTGGTTTCGAGGTATGGGTCATGAAATTAAGCAGAGTTTTCTTGAATTTCGTGTTACACTCTACCCACGGTGTATTGTAAGCTGAGAACAGTATTTTGTCACTCTGCAAAGATAAAAATATACAGGGTGTATCTAAATAACACCGAAAAAATTCAAGGAGTAATTCCTTGTGATATTTTAGGAAATAAAGTGCATATATAAACATGTGTCCTAACTTGCTTCAGTTTCAAGATACAGGGTATTAATATTTCCAGCTGAGCTGGCAAATGTCTACTTCTTGTTTTTATTCAATATTCTGTATATTCAAAGTGTTGTTTATATGAGCCCCAATATTAGAAGGATTAACATCAATGTAATTGGGGAGTTGATGAGGCCTTGGAAAATTATGCAGGAATTATTATGGATTCAATCAATGTGAATTGTGAATCATTCAATTGGCATTGTAGTCAAATATTTGGATGATTCGCGTCCGAACTAGTTTTATCGGCATTACCAACAATTTCAAAAGTTACTTAATTTAAATGATCGTAGCATCGTATAATGCCAGTTCGTTTGAAAAGCTCAACATGCTCAAAAAATCATGTAGGTCACGTAATCTGACGTTACTGATTAGATTTTCATGATCCAGTAGGAGCAGCATTGATCTTTTGCTCAACACAAACAAACACAAAGCAGTGGCACAAATCATTTCTGAACATAGCCAAATCTGCGTAATATCCAAATTTGTTTTGATTTGGTTCTCATTGAAAGAAGAGACAAGAATAAGTGATTAAAATGAAAAAACCGTTGACATTATTCATGAAAAACAAACAGTCCAGAGAATAAGGAATAAAAAATAAGAAATGCAGATCTGCTGTTGGTCAATTCTAACCTTGAACGCATTTTAGACCAATCATAGTTCTATTCCTTATTCCTATTCCTTATTATTTTGCATTGTGCTTGGGCCTTCAGTTTGATCTCCATAAGTGGAAAGCAACAATTCAATAAAATATTTCAACGGTCCCTACGATGCAACGATCATTTGAAGTTACCCTATATTACAGAACTTCTATGAAGGAATTTAACGGCATACCTTATATATGATTTCGTTACCATACCAGCAATACAAGAACTCTTCAGCAAGAATGCAGAACACTACCGAAATCAGAACCAACAATTTCGTTGTCTCTCCCTCATAAGATACCTTAAAAAGTATAATATTCTTTGGAATTCAATCAAATATGTATAGTAAGTCCACCGAGAGCTGTATACAGCAAATTCTCTATACAGGGTGTTTTTTGAAGACATGCCAATATTCGAGGAGGGATTCTTTGACTCATTTTAAGGAGAAAACTTTTTATGAATATATGTCCTAAAAGTCATAACTTTTGAGATACGGGGTGAAAAATATTCAGTTCTTTCATAATAACTGAGACAATATTATGAACATATCCATGAAATATGGTACATGTCTTTTATGCATCAAGGTGCATTCAGGACTACATTCAGGGCATCCATACAGGGTGATCTGAATCCTGTACCAGCCTGTATTTGTTCCAATTAAATGTCAGTAGATAGTAAATCAAAAGTTGAGATCGGGATATAGAAGACGTTTTGAACATTTTCTAGCTCTGTAATCGTTGCCGCTAGAACTAAGCATTGATGAAATCAGCTCTATGGGGAAAATTAAAAAATGCAATGAAATACAGGGCGTTCCATTTGAAATAACAAAGTTGTTGCTGCTTTTCGTTAGTATAGCGGTAAGGCCGCAGAGCTGAAAATAATTCTAAACCATGTCCCCCCCGCGAAATGTGGTTGATGTGATCCAGATTCTTTTCGAAATCCGGTTTTGGCGACCTACAGAGCCTCTGTTTCGTTTTCATCAGAAAGATTCATCTAGAGAATTAAAATTATATCACAAAATAATGAAACTCACCTGAGTCAACTGATATAAGTGCGAACATAGTATTAATGCTGCACAAAAAAACAAAATGCAGATGGTTACTCGGTATATGTATTCTACATTTTTGGTCAACCTGAAATTGCAAAACATTTAATTTTTTCTACAACACTTGTATCTTGTGATGAAAGAATTTCTATTTTCAATCATGTTCTGCCCTCGTATAGAACGTATTGACGACCTCAAATAAAAAATGACAGAAGTCATTTTTATAATTACAATGTATTTTTTCCTGCTGTTCGATTAAGAATAATAATGAAATCATAAACATATCATTATAGTGTGAAGGGCGTTGTAGACAAGGTATAGTATTTCACTCGACGAAAACATTTTTTGAAGCTCGTGAGCATCACATTGTTCTCTAGCTTCAAATAATGTTACGTTCTTCATCTTTCGTCACTCGTAAAACAATAATATACTATTTTTAATAAGTTCCTCAACAGCTGTTCCATTCCATATCCCTTGGGACAAAATTTACCTTACAGGTTGTAGCAAGGTGGAAAAATTAAGATTCAAGAAAACTGAGAATATACAAGGTGTTTCATTCGAGAAAGAAGCTAGGCTCTGGAATTGATAGCCTGAGGAAATATTCCCAACAACATATAGTCTCCAGAAGTTCAAAAAAAATTTCAATACCTACCTCCTGTCCCTATACTCCCTAGGAACGCACGATGTTCTTTGAACATTATAGGGATTTTCTTTCGTGCGCTACAAGCGATAAAAAAAATCGTATAACGGTAATGTTACATACAAAGATATGAAATATGAAATTCGTAAATTCTATCTCTAATAATGAAAGAATAAAATAACTTCGTCTCACCCTGTATAGGAAGCGGAGGTTCTAGATTCCTCAGAGATTCCTTATTATTCATACTTTATAGAACCTTTGCCATTGTTTCTCACTATGCTTTTTGATATTGAAAACTATGATAATATATGATAATAGTCTATATAGAAATCGAAATTTCCTACCACTTCTGGTTGAACCGGCGAAAGGAAAAAGAAATTTCAAGATAGTGACATTTGCGATGTGGAATTTGAAAATTCTATCTACGAAAATTAAAGAATTGAATGAGAATGTATCATGACTTCGTCTCACCCCGTATAGGCAGCGGTAAGTTGAAATTCATGAATGATTCTTTTACTAATGGAGAGCCAAAACTGTAATGCAGAAGACATGCTGACATATTAATCAAAATAGTTTTGGGTTGACCTTTTCATCTTTGAAACCCTTCAAACTTTTCAGCATTTTTGCTTTCGAACAAGAACTTGAGTTTGACGAATAATCCCTAGGGACTTGGGTGAATCGTTGCTGAGTTACTTCAATATTCAGAAGAAGAATGTTATAGTTTTCGAACCTACCTATGTATAGAAGTGTAGTGCTTCACACAGATGATCAAGTTGTCTGTCATAACTTGCGAGAATTGTTCGAAATTTCCTTTAAGCATGCGAATTTTTTCTACGCTGTTGATACTCAATTGACCTCCTGCCACGTGGAAATTTCCAATGGAATTCAGGACTTCACACAAAAAGTCACACTGAAGCCCGATATGCATCAGCAAAACGAAAATGAACATATTCGTATTTACAGCCAAAAGGCAGTTCCACAACAGCACAGTGATTTGAAATACATACACAATTTCGTAAAATGGCGACTTCTTCCAATCGAAAGGGAACCAGCCTTGATACACCGTTGGTCTTCCTTCAACAATGAAGGGAATGACAGCAAAGCCGGCTGTGATCTGAAAAGCCATAAAAATAAAGAAGAAATAACATTTCTTATGGAAAGATCTGAGAGCTCGGCTGAGTTCGAAATGTCTCTGGCATTTGGGCTGCATCAATGGTTTATCTAATTCCATCATACAAATCTTGATAGAGTCCAATTTATGGTATATAGTCACCGTTCTGAGGAAAATAATTAAAAAAATACCGCTCAAGTACACGATTTCAGTAAACTCTTGCATGTCGTCAAATACCATTACCAAATGTACAATTTGAGATGTCAAACAAAGGAGCCATATAACTGTGCATAGTATAGTGTAGAAGTTATACAAACTATGGTTTTCCTCATCAGGATTTGGTTTCCAGTAACCAAGAATTTTGAAAATTCTGATATGGAGAGATACAAATTCAACGAAAGCTTCTTGCTCCATTTCTACGAACAGAAATCAAGTGACGGCGAACTAAATTGTTGCGATATTTTCCGAACCTATGATTTAACTCATCACCATGATGCTTCAGTATACTCATAACCAAATTATGTTCAAATTCTACACTTACCATAGGAGTGCCTTACATATTTTCCATTGAAATAGGGTAGCATCGATGTTAAATCACTTGAAGCACTAAAGACTATCCAGAAACAATTTATTCGACTGAACTACAATTTGAATGAAATCAATGCAATATAAAAAATACGGTAATAAGAGAGCTTGGTTTAAGTTGAACCGATTTTTTCATGTGCAACATTGATTGTAGCTCCCATGAGTTTTCTGAGATCATAAGTTATATGTACTCATGCACTTATGTACTTGCACAAGTATTCGTGATAACTATGATGGGAATATTCAGATAACAACGATATCAAAAATCATATTCATCCATTGCAATCAGTAAAAAATAGTGCATCAATACGAAATCATTATATCCTAGGGTATCAGTATAGGTTCAAGTATATGGTAGGTATCAAAACAGTTTCGTTTTGGTGATGTACTTAGTAAAAAAATGTGTTTGCTGCTACTGCTGATGCTTCACAGGTGATGTTACTGCTGCTGCTTCAGTTGATGCTCTTAGAAAAATGATTTTTCAAAAACAAACAAGTCACGTCGGCTATTTTTGGAGGAAGACCATTTTGACGCGAAGATGATGATACAATAATTCTTCAACCCTCTACTTTTCAGAGCATCCCCCTCTTTAATTCAAATTGGGAATAAGGGTCATTCATTATTCCAGATTTTTTGGGATTTCCTCTACTCATCTTTGTGAAATAAAAATATGAATACTATTTCTATATACGTGTAATGAGGACAAATCAGAAATCAGATGATTTGCCCTTAAATGTCACTGCGTTCAGAATTTTCTATCAGAGAGCCTAAAAGAAAAATTCACTAGCTCCTCAGTGACAATTTGTATTGAAAAAGGTTTGGAGAAGAGAAATAATGGTATATAGAAAAAATATCAATTTTTTACTTATATTTGGACGATTCGGGAACGAATCTGCTCCCGTTTTCAACATGAAAAATGGATTTTTTGTATGGAAAATTCGTATTTGTCTTGACACTTCTCAGTTCTCAGTGACAATTGGTGACGTTGGTAATCAAATGAGTTACAGGATGTTTTCATCAATTAATCTTGAATTCACCATTTTTATTTTCAGATTTTAGTAGTGAATACCATGTTCTATCTATATCAACTGAACAGGAAGCAATGCTTTTGTCTCCGTTCAGAAGAATGCAAGCAGATTCTTTGATTTTTCTCTTTTGGTTATCTTCTTTTCCAATGATTTTAATACAATTCCACTCTGCCATATGTTGTCTATCTTCAGTAAGGATATGTTCAGCTAGTTTCGATTTGTCGATGTGTCTTTTCTTTATATTGCATTTATGTTCCTATTTTGATAGGGTTAATATTCTATATGCTCTCTATATTTTCACTATAAGGCACAGATTTCTCCGTCAATGCACCTCATCTGAAGATCGATCAATTATATTAGAGGTTGTCAAGAAAACTCGACGACTGATTGACAATGGATATTAAAGAAATTATAGGATTAAAATCATTCAACTGAACTATCATGTCCCTAATAATTTAAATATAGAAGTTCAGCGGGATTTTTCAATCTAGATATTTGCTGAATAACAATCTTCAATCTAGGCTTCCTGATCCAGCTAAATGTTATACTTTCTGAATTTGATTTAACAATTCATTTCATTTTATTGATTCATTCCCAATACCTTGATTATCAAATTATTTAATATTTCCTTCAGTTGAATTCAAATCATCGTTATAATTTGATTTGACAACCACGACCATGTTCCTGTTTCAACTTTTCGTTCGATATTGAATGAATTAAATCAATCCAGTGTGAGAATCGAAAATGGGTTGATTGAATTTTTCTGGATCTATTAATCTATTTCAAATGGTTCTTTCAATTTGAATTGGAGTAGTCTTTTCAAAAATGACTGAATTCTGAATCAGGCAATAAAGTGTATACAAACAATCAAATGTCACTCCAACCTGTTACGGCCAGGTCACGAATTAGGTGTGAATATTTAGTACAAAAAGTATTCCAATATTTCGTTAGGTGGAATTCGTTTTTAGGAAGTGTGTTCAGTGTTCTTTGGTGCTACATAACTTTCCTGATTTCATAAGTTCCCGAACTGGGTATGGTTTGAAGAAACAACAGGTCCTTTGTTATTTTGTATTCCTAATCTCAAATTAAATAGTAGTTTGAAATACTAAGAAACACCCATTGATAGATAGCCAAACAAAAAAGAAGTAGATTATAAAATACTGAAAGTGTGTTGATAAATACACAAACATAGAGAATATTAGCATCTCCGTAATATGTACAACTAACAGAGAAACATTATGATGATTTCAAATGATAAATGACTGTTCAGTCCCATTATTTTTCCTCGAACTTGATAAAGATAAAATGAATGAAAAAAAGTCAAGTATATACAGTGAATGTTCAACTCAATCAGGAATGAACCAAAATTTAGACATTATTGAGAGGGGTGTGTGTCGAATCTCCTGATTTTCTTTCAGTATAGTAAAACACTTCATGATTGTGATAGAAAAGCATAGGTATTCAATATTTCTCAGTAGTTTATATTCCATTTGTGTATCCAATATTACAATTTTTTGTATTCAATATGAAATTTTCCTAAATAATGAAGGCACATGCGAAATGTGAAATATTTTCCTGATTGCCAGGTACTAATTATCCGATCTTCCTTCTTGGATTCCTTGTAGGACAGTGAAATAGGAATATGATGAATGTAGAATCTGAAATTGAAAACAAATCAATATATTGAATAATAATATGATGACTGCAGCCCAATTCCATAAACAAAAAATGTATTTTTTCCGAATTGAGAGCTAATATGAATTATGAATGATTGTATTGGGTTGATTTTGATCAAACTATTCTCTTATTCGAACCAAGTAAACCTTTTACGTGTTGTTCTAGGAGCGTGTTGAGTCTCCGAAGTAATGAATAACAGTATAAAATTATGTCGTAGAGAAAATTAAATACAAGGTGTTTCCTAAATAAGTGCAGATATTCGGCATTTTAATATGATACAGTATAAGGAATATTCCCATGATATCATATTTTTTTTTAATTCTTCTAACTAACTAGAAATTCCATCCCAAAAATTGAACAAAATACGAAAAAAAAAATCAAGCGAGCCTGCACTTCAAAACAATTTTAATGATTGAACTTCGCGTGATCACAGATTAATAATTGTGCCATCCGCATGAAAATTTGAACAGAGGTGACGTCAGATTTGCTACAGTGTAGAACTGTGGGTGGAACAAGGGGTCTAGCCTCAAATATTTGCACATATTTCAATGCCACCCTGAATAGTAATTCTGTCTTCAGGGCTATCGAGGATTGAATGATTTTGACATGAACCTGGTGATACTGAAGATGTTACTTCTGATTCATGAAATTTTTTTATCAATCTTCTAAAGTGCCAAGGGACCAAGAACACTACGTTGTAGTACACTGATTTCAACATAAGTAGAACTCACCGATATAAATAAACTATTCGACATGGTGAATAGTCCTCCAGCTTTGATTTCGATTGGATTCAAGGTATGGGTCATGAAGTTGAGTAAAGTTTTCTTGAATTTCATATTGCACTCTACCCAGGGTGTATTATAAGCGGAGAACAATATTTTTTCACTCTGAAATCATACATTAATATTTTATTCCAAAAATAACTGTACACACATTTCTTGACAATTGTACAAAATAGTATATTGTGCAACTAGTGAGAAAAGTTCAACTTTCCTCACGAGTGCGAAAGTTTGTGGCACGAGCCTGAAGGGCGAGCAATGCAAACGCACGAGTGTGAAAAGTGCTTTTCCCCTTATGTTGCACACTATACTTTTTCTACAACTGCACTATTATATAGACGCCTTTCCTAGTTCCTCAAAGTATTTCAAAAAAGTATATATTCCGAAGAAGATTTTATTTCTGTATTTTTTTAGATACCATGAATTTATCGTACCAATATGCCAATTCATACTTCATTTTGGAAATTTCCGGAAATCCAAATTCCGCAGCTTTTTCCATTATCTCTGTCTCTGGCGGTGTATTCATCAAAATCGTCACATCTCGGTATATACATCAAATTATTTATTATGAATTGTTGGAACAATATTCGATGGAGAATGCGATTTCTATCAGAAGCACTAATGAAAACTAACCTAAAGAATTCAAAAAACTTCTTCTGACAGTTGTGACAACTATTCAAAGCTAAACAGCAGCCAAGTTTTGGTCGATTTTTGTTGATTCTCCATGGAAATGTATGTGGTGTTGACAAAGTGCGAAAAAATATTTCTCACAGTATGGGCAATACATGGTTTCGAAACTAACGAAGCTATGAGAAATGCGCTACTTTTCATAGCAGTAGTAGAAAAAGTTTACTTGACAATAACACAAAAAATTGCAGCATGTTCGAAAACCCGCTCGGGCAGATCGATTGATATTTTTAGAAGCGCATCCTTTTCAACAAAAAGTGGAAATTTTGCACTTATCATGCGATGGTTTTTTTTTCGAAAATATTTTGGTACTTACGTATTTTTCTCTCTAAAATACGAATTTGATATTAATCGAAATATTTCACGAAAGACTTCAAAATGTCACCTTCTTTCTCCGCCTGTACTTGGATTCACATTAACTGATTTACAGATTGTACCTGTGCCTGTTGTACGTGCTTTTTCAGCGGAACATTATTTCTCATAACTTCATAACTTCGCCTTGTATCTCATAAACGGAAAAAGTTATGCGAAATGTCGAAATCTGATTACGCCATCTTGAGTTTCACAAAAAAGTTGGACAGGAACGTGAAAACCGCAAGGTTCCTTCATATCAATAGATGTGCCTAAGCCTAAAGGATTTCTAGGCTTCAAAAACAAC